TATAAATGCACCAACCACTGGGCAATAAAAGGCCATATAATAGCAAAAGTTAATGCACCAGGAGACATCTCAAATGGCCACCAAGATGGTCTCTGAGAAAATAAAATAAATATATAACAATCTATTCAATATTGCATGTATAAACTTAAAAACATAAACAATAACTTTAAAAATATAAAACCAGTAATAAATCTCATTCCTGTTATGCTACATTTCAAAGCATAATTCAATAAGGCAGACTTGCAGAAGTATCTCAGACTTAAATAAACATCACACAAGTATTTAGTAAAACATACAATTCATGTGCAATGCTTTAAGGATCTCATATAATCTAAATGTAGTCTAACTGATTTGAAAACCTAGCACTTAAGATTCAATTTTCTTACCTGTAAGGACTGATTGCTGGACTGCAATGCTGATAATTTTGCCTATAAACAGGAATGAAATGACTTAGCCTTAACAAAATGAAAATACACACAGTAATTTTTCTATTTCCTAAACAGCTTATACTATTTTCTGCTATTTGTCTTAATTATCCTGAACCAACACTGATCAAAGGACAAAGTCTAAAACTGTGAGCAAAATAACTACCTTTGATACTTTACATTTTAAAAATTCAAATTATTAAAAAATGAATATTAAATCTCAAATCCACTTTAGCCCTGACTTCTTACATAGTCTTATTGTCTACTCAATATTCAACTGCCTTAGCAGTTATATATATTATACAAACCATAATGTACAAACACTTAAGAACTAAAGCCTTGATAATTACTTAAAATAAAGACTAAAAACACTATCCAGTGATTGGTTTTTGCATTTCATGATGAGCAGGAAACATTTGACAGATAAGAAATGAACAAGTGGTATTACAGATTATTAAATCTGTAATCCGCATGCCTGTAACACCAGTACTCAGTAGGGTAAGGCAGGAAGATTATCATAGCATAAGTTTAAGGCTAGACTGAACTAATTAGTAAGATCCTGTCTTAAAAAATAAAAAAATTGTAAAAACTATCAAGCAAAAAAATTCAGGACATTTACATTCTAATTTGGCTGATTCCAAAGACAAATTTCCTTAGATATAAGACACATCAGAGGAAACAATGCTTGCAAGCAACTCTAAATTAAATGGTCAAGGAAAACTCAACTTTGTGACTTGGGAAACTGCTTTCTGTGCAGAAGTAATGTCAACTTGAAAGGCTGAGCAAGGGATGGAGCGTACTGCCACACTCAAGGAACAGCTACAAGGGCGGCAGAGTAAGAACAGGAGAAAGTTGAGGAGACAGGCTTTTTAATTTCTTTGTCAGTATAACAAAGATACTGTAGCTTGCAAGTAAAACTAAACAAAATGCCCCTGAGGGTTGCATTAGTCTGTATAAAACATTAAAGTGCTAAAACACTATCTTACAATTCTTGTATACTCAACCTGAATGCTCAAAGTGCTAAAAGAATGAAGACAAGGTAATGAATATGCTGGTAGTTATAATCCTGCTTTGTAGGTATAATATATTCAGTCAAAAATTGATCTGTGGTTCTTTTCCAGAATACATGTAGTAAAGGGTAGACTTTGGGCTACCCAATGTTATATCAGTCACGATGGCCAAACTACAATGTGACAAATACAACTACCTCTTCTGCATTAAAGCAACTAATACTAACAAATGCTAGGAATGAGTGAAAACATGAAAGGAACTATACGTGCATCTTTTTCTAAAGAAAAAATGATCTGGAATAGCAGAGGAAGAGTTCTTATAAATAACCAGCACAATTTTTAAATTTTAATTTATTTTTCAACTACTTAAAATGCTTTTGCCAGGCATGGTGGCACACACCTATAATCCCAGCACTCAGTTGGCAAGGCATGAGAATCGCTGTGAGTTCAAGGCCTGCCTGAACTACACAGTGAGACCCTGTCTCAAATTTAAAAAAAAAAAACAGTTTTTGCAGTGCTAGGAAATGAACCTAGGACTTTCTCAGCCCTTTTTATTTTGAGCCATGGCTCACTAAGTGATTAAATTGCATAGGCTGGACTCAGACTTATAATCTTCCTGCCTCAGCCTGCCAGAGTCCTGGGCAGACATGCACCCAATGCCTGGTTTTACCTAAAGTTTGTTTTGTCTTTAAAGATATCTACCCATAAATATCAAGTAGCCTGTATATAGCTTCTACTTATATAGACATCTGTTTCATCATTTCACCCCACTATTATTATTATTACAGGTTATTATTTTTGGTTAGGTTTTTTTTTATAGTGCTAGGGATCTTCAGAGCTTTAAACATGCTAGGCAAGCACTATCCCACTTGGCTATATCCCCATCCTCTTCCCAATTTTGTCCTTTTGAAGGGAAAAATCTCATATAACACAGGTTGAGCACCCCTACTCTGAAAACCAAAAATCCAAAGTGCTCCAAGATCTGCTGAAACTTTGCCAGTATGATACTCACCAGTTTAACAGGTTTTAGAATTCTAGAGCATTTCTGATTTCAAATTTCTAGATATTCTACTGGTAAAGTCTGTGGAAACATTCTGAAATCTGAAATACTTCTGGTCCTAACCACTTTGGATAGAAAGGCTCAGTCTATAGTAAGCAGTGCAAAGGTAATAAAGTGACCTATCTTTTCCTGTAAGCCTTTTTCTCTTCTTTTAGTGGTTTCTCCAGAGACAGCTTCCTGGCTCGATTCAAAACAGAAAGGCAGCCAGGCATGGTGGCACACATCTGTAATGCCAGCACTCAGGAGGCTAAGGCAGGAGGATTGCTGTGAGTTCAAGACCAGCCTGAACTACAAAATGAGCTCAAGACCAGCCTAAACTGCATAGCAAGACCCGGTCTCAAAAAGAAAAAAGGAAAAAAAAAAAAAACAAAAAAAAAAAAAAACCTGGGACCGGGGATATAGTTCAGCAGCTTATGCACCTGCTTGGCAAGCGCAAGGTCCTGAGTTCGAGACCCCGTAATGCCAAACACACACACACAAGAATGGCAATCTGCCACAGTTGAAAGACCACTAACAGAGGATACAGGATGACAGATGAAAGGGTTCTGTTCAATATTTTACAACTGACTAGTTACACTGCCTTTTCCTTTCTTTGCTTTATTTTGACAAGACTTGAGATTGAACCCAGGTTGTTGTACTGAGCTATATCTCTAACTTGTCTTAGTTTTTATTTTGGGACAGTTTCCCTGAATTACCCAAGCTGGACTCAAACTTGCATTCCTCCTTCCACAGCCTCTTACAGTACTAGGATTACAAGGCTGTGCCATCACACCAATCTCTTGACCAGTCTTTTCTAAAATAGAATTTTTAAAGAGGTCCTTTTGAATTTTTTAAAACAATCACTAAAATTTATGAAAGTTTGTAAAAATTTGTGATCTGTGTAAATCATGAAAGAGGGCCAGGGAGACAGCTTGGTAGTCTAAGTGCCTGCCTGGCAAGCTCAAGGACCCACCAAGGTCAATCCCTGGTACTACATGCCTTACCAGCCCGGGAATCCCAGGCAACCAGGTATGGTGGTGCATGCCTGTAATCCCAGCTCTGGGGACGCTGAGATAGGAGGATCACTAAGAGTCCAAACTGCATAGCAACACCCTATGTCCAATAAAATTAAAAAAGAAAGAGACTACACACGATTCCACAGGATTAAAAAATGGAAGAAGATGGTAAGACAAAGGTGGAAGCTTACCTGTGAAGCAGTTAGTGTTTCAAGTTTATGGAGCCTTTGCAGGACGTTCTGCATGT